CTGTTAACAAAAAAAAGGAGCAGATTGAACATCACAGAATGGGGAGATTTGAGATTACTTCTTACAAAACTGAAGCCAAATATTGATAATTTGCTGTCAATTCATCAACTACATCCGTCTCATTAAAAGTATGACTATTTTTTATTGTTGATTTACATTTCAGAGTTTATTGTTGATTTTTTGTCAATTGTTGATTGCTTGTAATAATAAATGTGCATTAATTTTTTATTAGCACAAGTATTATTTTAATAAATAGGACACAAGAAAATGTGCCTCTACTTTTTTTTCTTCTTAGCACCCCCAATTTAGGGTGATATTTTTTGGAATTTTTGGAATACAGTAGAAATGTAACAGCAGGGGGTCTACCGAAAATAGTAAAACTTTGAAAGTGGTCCACGAGAAAAAAAAGTTTGGGAACCTCTGATTTAGACTATTCGCAACGCTCGAATACGCCATCTGGTGGGAGAAAACAGATTCCTGTCTAGAGCTTTTGCTTTCCGCTGATCAAATGTATGGGAAAATAGAAATGATGTATTTCTTCTCATTTAGGAGTGTCAAAAATTTATACTAAATTTGGTATAGTTTAAAGAAGCGAGTTCAAGAAAACCTTTAAAAAAAACGATGAAATTTTAAATGTTTAAAAAAATGTTTTCAAAATGCAAACAAATTGTAGCACGACACGTAATGGACGAGTAATGTAGCAATAATTTGTTTGCATTTCGATATTTTGTAAAAAAAAATTTTTTTTTGTCCAGTTTTTAAAACTTTTTGGTTTAATTTAATATGATTGGTATAGAGAAAAGCGAGTTCAGGTAAACCTTAAAAAAACACGAAGTTTTAAATGTTTAAAAAATGCAAACAGATTATGGCAGGGTATTTATTGGAGGAGTAATCCAGCAATAAAGTGTTTTTATTTCGATATTTTGAAAAACTTTTTTTCTTCAGTTTATCAAACCTTATGGTTTAATTTGATATTATTGGTATAGTTTAAAGCTTTGAGAAAAGCGAGTTCAAGAAAACCTTGGAAAAAAAAACCATGAAGTTTTAGATGTTAAAAAAAAAATGTTTTCAAAATGCACACAAATTGTGGCAGGATACGTAATAGAGGAGTAATCCAGCAATTATATGTTTTTATTTCGATATTTTGAAAAAAAATTTTTTTTCAGTTTATAAAACCTAATGGTTTAATTTGATATCATTGGTATAGCTTAAAGCTTAGAGAAAAGCGATTTTAGGTAAACTTTAAAATACCTTAAAGTTTTAAATGTCAAAAAAAATTTTTTCAAAATGCAAACAGATTGTGGCAGGATACCCATTGGAGGAGTAATCCAGCAATAATTTGTTTGTATTTCGATGTTTTGAGAAAAAAAAATTTCAGTTTTTTAAAGCTTAGTTTTTTAACTAATTTTGTAGTTGGAATTTGTTTTTGTTTCACTAAAGCATCAATATAATGTGATCATGTAAAATATTTTTAGTTGCCATTTCTTCCAAATGCTGAGTATCAGTCACCAATTTTGCACTACTAGCTAAAATGCGAACAATTCTTATTCCTTAACCTTTTTCCCTAGCTTGCCAAACTATCATTACAAAAGGAATGAGCTGATAGGCATTGAAAATCCTTACTGCTTAGTGCAATTTTGAGTTACATATAGTTTCTAAACTTAAATTTTTTTTATTAGTTTGAAAGAACAGCAGTGGATTGGAGGATAAAGCACTCGTTCTTCAATGAGGTCACAGGTTCGAATCACAGCGAAAGCTCATTGGTTCGAATTCCGGCTCCGGCTCCCACCGACCGCAGTATTAACGTTAAATATCCTGAATGGAAAACGGAGCAGGCCATCGGGCTTACCATGTGACATAAATACGGGAAAACTCCCTCAAAGAGTTCTTCACAAATGCTAGTTTTGTCTAATGCTTGATCCAAGAGTGTCCTCGTCTTCTGTATTGGGTTCAAAATTTACAATGATGCGTAGTGGCACATTGATAGACGTAAGGATCGGTTTTTGAACGCTGGATATAAAATAAAGTTAAAAATCAAGCAAACACTAACAAATAATCGGAAATTTAAAAATTCTTTTTTAATTCTCTTTGGTACAAAATAAGTTCAGAGTCTTGATATTTACAACTGACTAAATTTGAACATGAATACATGATCGAAAAATTAAACAAGAACAATATGAGACATGGTATGAACTATTATAAAACGTATAAAGTTGAATTTGGAATTCATGATCACAAGTTATTTTTGAACAAAATGCAAATTGGGTATGATTTCCATAGGAATTGGATCAGCACAAATATTTGGGGTGATTAAATTAAATCGGGTCTGAGGTTCAGAACTAGACACAACATTTTTCTGGGGGTTATTAGAAGGCAAATTCCAAAGAAGATTGTTCGTTTTGTTGGCAAAAAAATTGTGTTCACCTTCGCTGACAAATCTTCCCAACTCTCCTTTAAATATGAGATCTGCAAAGGCCGTTTGAACGAAGGCACACGATCTTGGATCTAGACTTCGCAGTTTTGAAGCGACAAACTCCCCGTAAACATCAAAATCATCTCTAGGTCGCATATGAAGTGGAATAGTAGGTTGGATATGCGTACCACTCCAAGAATTTGCAGTATGTAAAACTGGAGATCCAGATGGCAGCACTGAAACTCCAGTTTGATTTGGACTAGTTCTAGAAGAATTTTCAGAAACCGTAACACTTTCAACTGGAGGCAATGGGTTCTCCGTATGAGACGCAAGTTGGATTGGTTCATTACTCAAAGCGTTTTCAGGACTGGTACTATTTGCAACTGGTGGTGATAATTGGTTTGTTCTATGAGAAGGAGATCTGTGTTGTATATCATCTCTCGGTGATCTTTGAGTAAGACTGAAATCTTGAAGAGTATTTTCTATGTGAGAAGAAGATCCAGGCTGGACATTCTCTTTCTCTGAAGAGCCATGGGTGTTTTTATTTGGAGATTTTCCAGCATAGTCTGTTTGTGCATCTGAAAACCCTTTTTCGCCTCTCTCTGAAAACATCCCTAATTCAGCTTTAAACAGGAGATCTGAAAAGGTGGTCTGGATGAAGGCACTGGATTTCGAATCCAGATTTCGTAATTTTGAAGCGACGAATTCGCCGAAAATGTCAAATCTGTCCTTAGATCGAAACGGAGGATTTGAATGAGAAGGAACTTTAGATTGGGTAGACTCATTAGTCCATGAACTTCCATGGTTGGAACTACCAAGTGAGAAAGAGGATGATCCTATTTGCGATGAAACTCCAGGTAGGATAGATTCGTTTCTACAATTTTTTTCAGAAACTACGCCGCAAGAATTCGAAGAAACATCAGGTTCAACCTTCACAGTTCTCGAAATCTGAGACTGTGTTGGTGCTGAGGAAACAACATCGTTATGTCCACCTGGAAGTATATAATCTGTATTGGAGTTTGAAGATTCTGAACATGTCACATAAGATGTGCTTGGTCTTTGTCCATCGAACTGTGCTTCGGAAGGGCCATCGGCAATCGACGAATGAAATGACGCATCATCAAATATGCTGGATTCTGATTCTGTTTCGATTATTTCTTGTTTGATCACGATGTCAGAGCTGCTCATGAGACTTGTAGACGTGCTATTAGAACACTGCCCAGCTGGTAGCACATTAGAATCATTACTCTTCTGTAATGAGCTCCCTCCTTTCTTCTGAAAATGGAAATAAATATAAATTGAAGGACAACAACAGTTAATGGAAGTAAATGAGACAAAACAAGGAGCCTATCTAAATTAGGGATTAATAAAAAAAGCATAACATTTACAGGAAACGAAAAAAAGGCAATTTTGCTTCTTATTTNATATAAGGCAGATCACAAGAGCTTTTTTTGATTTTGAAAATCGAAATCCATGTATTAATTAAATACTTTTATAATGGGCGAAATTTCATGAAAAAAAAAAGGATTTAAATCATTCTATTTAACATTTCATTAAAATCTAATAATATTATCAAAAAGGCAATTGATTTAAATACACAATATAGAAAATAAATATTTCTAATTAATAAATACATACAATTATTTTTTGTAAAAAATTTTAGAGCCAATTATTTTTTAGAATCTAAAACTATTTGTGTTTCTTAAAAATTTCTAAATTTGATCAGAAAGATTAAATAAAGTAACATTCCGAAACGGCAGTAAAATAATTTTCAATTTTCAGAAGTTTTCTTCATTTTAATTAAGTGTGAATGCGTGAAAAAATTTCTATACACGGAATACAGTACACATAAAAATCGTAAATAAATTTATAAATAAATAAGTATTTACACAAAACATGGGAAATTTATTATATAAGTGAGCGTTAAATAAAGCTAATAAGTGTTTGCGTTTATAGATAAAATTCACTTTATTGGAATTCTCTTTTCCCCTGGCTAAAGACCAGGAGAAAGGTAAAAATTAATATTCTATTTTTTTACACCCCTATTTTTAATTAGTAAATGTAACAGCTATCAGAATAGAAGAAATAGCGTGTGTTTTAGAATTTTTATAATATCAAAAATAACACAATCATGGAATCGATGTTTACCTTTGTTCTCTCTTATTTTTTCTTATAACTTTAAAAATATATATTTTTTATACTAGCGTTATATTTTTAAAATACTCAAAAATTCTTTTTTAACTTCGCAGTATCTTTAAAGCAAAGATAAAAGAGATAATTCTATTTTATTTATCTATATTTTATTTTTATATTATCCAAAAATAATAAACTTAGCCACTTTTTAAAACATTAGTAATAAAATCTTCTTCACAATGACTCGTTTCAAATAGATCTAAAATCATATAGATCAAATAGATCTAAAATCAAATAGATCTAAAATCATATATATATAGATATATAGATCAAATATATAGATCAAATAGATCTAAAATCATATATATATAGATATATAGATCAAATATATAGATCAAATAGATCTAAAATCATATAGATCAAATAGATCTAAAATCATATAGATCAAATAGATCTAATTTATCTTCAATTATCATATACATTTTATTTTTTATACCCCTTATGCTATATGGTGATATAAAATTATTGAAGGAAAAAGAATAATTGACTAATTAGCAGCAAGCATAGAAATTTACATAATGTGGTATTATTTTCATTAAAATATACTTACATTTTATTCATTATACTTACATTTTATTCATTAAGACACAAAAAAAAATTTCGTGCATGAAAAATAATAATTTAAGAAATAAAATGGTGTGTATCTGTACCTATGATCAAATCAATGGACAAATCATTTAGTTGAGCACTAGTTTCTTAATGACATTTGTTTTATTTTTATTTTATTTACAGAACGTGTAACTTTAATCCACAAGAAAGACATGGGGAATGCCAAGGGGAATAATCATGCATTTTCAAAAAGTCGAATTTGATAATAAGAATAATAAATTAATAAAGCGTATTTTGAAAATTTCTCAACAGAAAGTGTTTACTCCAATTGAATTATTAATATTTGATAAATGTCTTCAAATCCCTTAAAAACAGCACACAAAAAAGAGAAGAAAAAAATCAAATTAGGGAAATATATATGTCACAGTGTTAACAAAAAAAAAAAAAAAAATTATAGTAAGGTGCGTTTAGGCACCTTTGGCCAAAAATTGGTAAACTCAAATTTAAATCTTGAGGTGAAAAAAATAGAGAGAGAATATATTTATACATTGTAAGATAATATATTTTTATATAGTTCTTCACTTTTTGATCACGAAACAATCTGCACTGAGCTCATATAATAAGAGGGTTATACTCCATAAAACTTTTTAAAAAATTGGCATGAATCATATTTCTTATCTTTTCTTACGATTTTTCATAGTAATTAAAAACTCAGACCAACAAGGGTCCAATTGTATTTTTACATTGATAATCACTTCGTAAAGACACACGAATAGAGAAAATTAAATACTAGGAGATAAAATAGTATCATATTATGTCCGATATCAATATATTGGACAAAATACGAAAAATAAGTAACAGTTTTGTCATATAATATATGTTGTTGTGTCATAATTCTGGAGAAAAAAATTTCTGTAGAAAACAAAAACCAAAATTTTTAAACTTCATTATTCCCAAATAAGAATAGAAAAATCAGGAACATTTCTTTCCCATTCTGATGCGCGAAAAAGGAAACTTTTAAATATAATAATAGAGAAAAAAAAATCCTTCGAACATTTCTGCAGAAACGAAATTTTTTCCTTCATTATTCTTTATTTTTCATTCTTTTCAAATAAGAATAGAAAAATCATGAACATTTCTTTCCCCTTCGATGCCCGAAAAAGGACTCTTTAAAATATAATCCTTAGAACATTTCTGCAGAAAAAAGAAATTTTTTACTTCATTCTTCTCAAATAAGAATAGAATAATCACGAGCATTACCTCCCTGTCCGATGCTCGAAAAAGGCATCTTTTAAATATAATTTCAGAGTAAAAAATTTCGAAAATTTCTGCAAAAAAGAAAACCTATTTTTTTTACTTCCTAAAGGAAAATTCTCTCTGCAAGAACTCTAACGTTCTGCGACAATGTCGCCGTGATTCTGGTATGGGGGAAATTACTATAAATAAAAATAAACTATTAATAGATACATAGGAGGATTGATTCGAAATATACGTCAAAGAAGTTTTACTATTTCATAAATGAAATCACTTCTAAGACAAATACGTAGCTGGAATAGCCACAACATCCTTCAGTTATTATTATCTGATTGCCGTCGGACTAACCGTGGGAGTTTTACCTCTAAATGCAACGCAAATGTTGGCTAGTTCAATAAAAGTCCCCCTACAAGATAAGTTTTGTCTCAATGCAAAATCCAGTCGTTTCTTTCAATAACCGGTTATGAATAACCTTCCCAACTCTGAGTTCAAGACATTTATAGTTCAACTTCATAACTTTGCAAATTTTGATCTTAACCCAGAAGACAAGAGAACTCCATGATCAAGCATTAGGACAAACTAGCCTTAATGGAGGACTTTTTTGATGGAACTAACCCGCATTTGCGTTTCATGGAGTGGAAATCCACAAAAGTCTCTCACGGTTAGCCAGACGGCACGGGGATTCTGACCCATGACCCATTGAGGATATCCAAGAACTTCCCTGTCTTCTGGGTAGGGTTCAAAATTATAAGGCTACTTAGTTGAACATTGATGTTTGCTGGCTAAGAAATAGTTCAACCCTGTGGGTTCTTATTGATCTTTTTCAGCCTCCCAAACTAATTAACAACTGGTTCACATTTGTCATACTTACAAATAGAACTTAATATGGACAGAAAAGTTTAAATTTATGTATAGATAAATACTATCTCACCTTTTTAGGCGGAAGTTTATTCATAATTTTCAACCTCTCTCTTTGCATATTCTTTCGTATATATGAAAAATCTAACTTACTCATTTCGCCGGAATACTTAAAAGCGTTTAGTTCTTCTTTGATAATTTCGGAGGGTTTTTCGAACAAATTTTCCGAAGCTTTCCTTTTGGTCGCGTTCGAAATCAATTGCCTGACCATAGACTTGTTGACGTCATGGTTATGATCAGAATCTAAGCGCACTATTTCCATTTCACTTTTGTCAGTAAACAGCTTTGCCCTGCACATCTTTTTGGTGCAGCGCCATTTTGTTGAAGTTGCAATCTCGCGATCTTTGTAGAATGTGTAGTTTGAAAACAAAATCAACTTTTTCCCGCGCGTGCTGTAGACATGTTCGATTTTGTCAGGCGTAGAAGTACTCATTTTAACAACTATCAGCTAGCGATTAGGAACTGCTGTTGCCTGGCGTCTGAATCGAATGAAGGGCAAACGACCTGAAATCTGGGGGAAGGGGGAAATTCATTCGCCGGTTACTGAAAGCAGGGACCGTCTCCTTTCCTATCGTCAACAGCCGGTGATAGCGGATTGCGCTAGTAGACTGCGCTTCTAATCTCTTATCCTCCCTTGAAAATGGTAGATGAACTGCGCCCAAAGCAATTCTTGAGAACATTCCTCTTTCACTCAATCATGCAGTAAATTATATTTTGATAAGATCGCCGTCTCGCCAACAATTATCGCCAGAATCAAGATTACAATTCTATTTTATGATCACATTAATAGTTTTAGGATTTACTTAGATATTTGTTTAGTTAAATATCGATTTAAAATCTTACTATCATTGCTATTTTTTATATATTATTATATTTATCATTGTTATTCTGTGCCCTTGAATATTATTCTTTCTTACAAGCATTTCTTTCATCTTCAGAATAATATGAAACTCTAAATATTACTCAAAATCACAATAAGGTCTTATAATAGTTAAGTATCGTTATTAATTTCTAATAATTAGCTTAAAATCTTTAATATTCGTTTAAACATTAATAGTTATAAGAATTCGGCCCATCACATTTTTTTTAAGTATTCGAAACTTTACATTAGCTTAAAATCTTTAAGTTCACGTTTTACTCTATATTTACTCTTTAAGCTTTATTTATCTAATAGGAGGCTTCACCCCATGCTCGCTGGAGCTCGCCAACCCCCCAAACTGCTTTCGCAGTTCATTTCGGATTGCTTCGCAATCCGATGCTCGCTTTACTCGCTCATTGGATACGTTCTTAACGTCTAGCTTTTGTATACTTTTTTGAACACTGAAGTTCCGAAAACTTTTCACTGTAGAAAATTCTAAACC